TGTTTTGTTGTGAGATTTTAATTTTCTTAATGGTTAATGTTTTATTTTCAATTTCTGTTGGTTCTTGAATTGGTTTGGGCAAATTGCTCTTTTGCTGGACACCATTCATCAGGTTTTCATCTCCCAGTGCCCAACTCACTCTTTTCTATCTGCCTGGTAAGGCTGGTCCTGGGACTCTGAAAACTCCTAGCTTCAAGTCCCAGCAGCCCCAGGCCAGCCAAAGTGATTCTCCCTACACTGACTCATCTCTGTGTCCCATCTTCTTTTACCATCCAACACCTGCCTAACCAAGTCTGCTTCTGCTTACACTGGGACCCCCACTGACTCCAGCTGACACACCACACACAGTGTCCAAGTTTTCTAGTTGATTAGAATAAAGTCATTTTTGGCAATCCTTTATTTACTAAAATGTGTATAAAGTACTGCTTTATCTGCATGTATAAATGTATTTCATTATTGTTCAAGTCTATGTATCTTCTAGTTTCCATTATGAGTTCTTTGAGCTATGAATTACTTGGAAGTTAAAAATTTCTAAATGTATTGAGTATTTAAAAATTATCCTTTTCATACTGATTTCAAAAACTACTTGCATCATGATTAAATCATTGTGATGAAGTTCTGTAATATTTGCTGAGATTTCCATTGTGGTCTTAGTAGTGTCAAATTTTATAAATATTTCCTATGTACAAAATTCTCACATTTGGGAGCACAGGATCTTATTTGTGTCCATTAGATCAAGCTTAATTATACTGTTCAAATATTCCATATCCAAATCTTTGTTTATCAACCTCTAAGTGTGGTGTGGTAGGATGGAGTTGTCAGTTTCTTTGCAATTTTTGCCTTAAAGCACTAGAATGCAAGGTCATATATGCATATGAATATATGGTATATATTATTTATGTGTAATATATGTAATATATGGGTGTTAACTGCAGTGGTATATCATGGTGGAAACCTGAAAGTAATACCTCTAAATGTTCATTACTAGTGAATAGGCTAAATTCATTGTAGGGAATAGTATGTAGCCACCAAAAAGCATGAATTTGTTCTGTATCTACTAATCTAGAGTGAGATTCATATTAAGTAAATAGTGCAAGTTGTATAATGTATATATTGTGATTCTATTTTTAGTAAACAAAATAAAAGACTATATGAAGACATTTCCTTATGTTTGAGTTTGAGATAAGACTGTTAACATCAATTCCTCCAGAAAAGTGACTTGGAGGGGCTGGGAAAGACAGCCTTAAGAAATATCTTTGTTTTATTTCACTTCCTGCAGTAGCCATGTTCTATTTTGACAGTTTGAGGTAGGTCTAGTAAGAAAGTGATGTGATCAGCATTCAGCTGAGAGGAAGACCTGCCATGTGAAGAAAAGCAAGTCACAAATTATAATTTAATTTGATCTTTTTTGTTACACTGACACGTACCTGTTGATATAAACTTAAGGAAATGTGTGGACACACACACCAGTATTCCTACATCTAAGTGGCAGGGATTGTGGAAGCTTTTTCACTGCTGCAGAAGTCTGTATTCTTTGCTTTCCTTTGCACACTATATGTTGTGAGCAAGAAACACACACATATATTGTGGTACTGGAGTTTGAACTGAGGGCCTATGCTTTGAGCCACTCTGCCAGACCTTTTTTGTGTTAGGTATTTTTGAGATAGAATCTTGGGAACTATTTGCTCAGACTGGCTTTGAACAGGGACCCTCTGAGTCTCAGCCTCTTGAGTAGCTAGGAAAACATATTTTTTAAGTTAAAAGGATGTAACTACAAAAAAACAAAAAACAAAAAACAAAAAAACCCAAAAAAACCTACAGGCAGCCAAGGTACTTTTACACTAACTCTTATTTATAGTTCTAGGCAAGTCATAGACCTTCTGATCACCTAAGCTTCTGCTCCACCAGATTCAAGGAATTTAATGGCAGACATATTAGCTGGCCTGCCAGTTTCTCCCCCATTTGGGAGAGCATCTGGCCTCAGGGGACAATCTTACTATTGACAAATGGCAGCATTCTCATCTGTGACTCAACTTCACTTGAGTGGCTTTAGTATGTCCTGTTGTTCCTGCTCTGTGGACACCTGCCTGTGGAAGGCGTGAGGCGAGGGCTGCTGGCCTTGCTACCAAATGTGGAGAGGACTGGAAAATGGAAGTGCGGGGTGCAAAGGCATATGCAATGACACAGTTTAATCTTTGACAGTGAAAGAAAACGGTGTTCACAGTATGAGTTCATCAGGTGGGGACACCAGAGCAGAACTGAGCTCTGGAGTGGCGGGAGAAGTGGCTGGAAAGGCAGGCACTTGATACTCACTGTTTGTACTTTACCATGAAGGCAAACAAGGGGATTGTTTAAAGGCCTCGAGTTGAGAAATCACGTGATTTGAGCGCTTTCAGATTAGTTTTGCTACATGGTGGAGAAAAAATTGGAGGAAAGCAAGAAGAAAAGTCAGTACACTGGTTAGGAGGCTGTTGAGGCTAATTCAGCTCCAGAGCTAATAGCTCTTAGGCAGTAGGCGGGGGAATAAGTCCATGTTTGAAGAATGACACTTGGACGTAGTAATTTGGTGGTGGTAGAGTTAAAGAGACTCAAGATCCCTTGTTTCCTGCCTTAGGAAACTGGAAGAGGGCGGTACCAGATTGAGATGGGGAATACAGGAAGCAGCCTTGGGGTATTTGAACATGAACATAGCAGAGCCTGACTACAGGCTATTTTTCTTTCCTTGATTCTAGGAGATTAGTAGAAGGCCTAGGAATGCACTCTGGGCTGCATCCTCCCACCACCTTCCCCTCTGCTCTCTTAGCCTTTCCCTCATCTTCTTCATTGATGTGGCTGGAACAGGCAAAAACACAGGAGGAAAGTCACAGTGGAAAAAGTTGTATCAGCCCCAGAGGAAATGGTAATGGTGACCAAACAAGACACACATTAATAATTGATATATATATATATATCTTTTTATTATGCACAGATAAAGGACTTAAAACTGTGGTTATCAAAACTACACATCTAAGCATGTTCACAAACTTGCTGACACACTGAATAGAGAAAAGACTAGAGCAGGGGTGTTCAAACTGGCCACAGGGGTTTACAGGGTACTCTTTTACCCTCATAGGTGATGAAAAACAGCAACAAAATCAGGCTCATTCAGGAAAATCCAGAAGAGAGAAGTATTGTATTTGAAAACTGATAATAGTCCTCTTTAGAAAAACATCTGTCAGTTTCATGAACAACCCCCAGATAAGACAAACAGAAAAATAAATCACACACAAGACTCACCCAACAAAATGTGCTGTTAACACAGCCAGCAGTACAGTCATCATCAAACCATGAGGTAGTTACAGCACAAAAAGACCGGTGCGCACCTGCGCACCCCACTCACACCCAATCATGCCTGCTGAGAACACATGCAGGAAATGGAATTACAATCTTATTACCAGACAAGGAAAAGACCATTTTGTGTTTAGAAAATGCTATACAAATAGCTCAGACAGAAGAAGTCTTTGACTTTTTAAAATGCAGAGTTACAACTGGGGAACAGTCCATGGTGAAAAGCTACAGGATGTTACACAGACAATCTGTCTTGGAGTTAAGAGCATTTCCACAATACCTTCATGAAGCATCAGTAAGCAAAATAAAATGGCCTCTGTGAACCATGGGTGCGGCCTGCAGATAGAACACAAGACTTTGCAGATAGAACTGAGTTCAATGAAATTGAACTACGGTTTGAAGGAAACTAGCAGAACATGTTATAAAGGCATGCTTGTACTTTTATAACATTTACACTTTTATACTTTTATAACATTTTTAAAATGGTGAAGGATAGCCAGGTGTGGTAGTACATGCCTGTAATCTCAGCGCTCAGGGGGCCGAGGCAGGAGGATCTCGAGTTCAAGACCAGGCTGGGCTATGTGGTGAGGCCCTATCTCGAAACAAAATAAACTGTGACAGGTGAAGGAATCAGAAATGCTGTAACAAGAAGATAGGGAGGGAACACCCTATTTTTTAATGTTCGGTTTTTAGAAACATTTCAGAAATATGTAACAACATTCACTTTCCAATATGAGATAAGGTTTCATCAACATGGATTTTTTTGATTTGAATAATACTTCTGACAATGATACCCAATAGGACTCCATCTCTCTCTCTCTTTTAAAAATATTTTGGTTTGCATCTATAAATTTGTAAATTAATTTAAGATTATCTATAAAATCATTGGCAATGTAGCATCTCTCTCAGAAATATACATTTAAATATATTACAGAAGCTCTTAACCCATCTAAGAAATGGATTTTTTTAATATCTCTTCATAACTAATTCTGCTTTTAACAAGACGGAAAGGGTTTAAAAAAAAAAAAAGAACTGATCAAAAGAATTCACAGTAACTGAAATTAAGCATTTCATATGGAGTAACTTAAATTTATCTAAAACATTTAAATATATCTTTATACATTCTTGTAGTAAAATATAGCTATAAGTGACTTAAAGACTCTAGTCTTCTTTGAAGACATCTTTAAACTTTTTTTATACATAGAATATGCTAAAATAGGACATTGTGCTGAAGGTTAGGCAAGGCGCATTCTTTTCAAACACAGGTAGCATAATTTAGGTCCTCCACTCTGATACCTTTATGTTAAAAACACACCGAAAGGAAATGCCTCCTTTAGTGTCACATCATTTTCATTCGGATATGAAGATCAGAAAAATTTAAACGCATCAACATAGATGGCCTGGAATTCTCAGCCCTGGAGTAATCTGTGTCGTTAAGACGATCCAGATTGAAAGCCTATGTATGTTGGATCAGACTGTTACTCACCAAGCAGATAACAGTAACAGTCGGCTTGCCATTTAAACAGTACCCTAAGAGTTGGGCTTTACCAACATTTCCTACAAAAGGTTCCATTTAACAGGAACAGGCACATCTGCCTTGCTCTAAGGGCAATGGATTTGCTTATGAATATTTTGTTCTGCTTATGAAATCATAAGTTATTTTGGGTGGGAGGAATTCTGGAGAAGGAATATATGTAATGTGCAATGAAGCCATCTTCAGCAGTAAATGATTTGGTCATGAAAATTCCCCTTTGACATTCTGATTTAACATAGAGGTATCACTGAGTGTGTTTACTTGGAAAGTGGCATCATTAGTACTCTGTTTAGTGGAATTCACCTCAAATCCTTTTTGAGTTTGGGATATATTAAAACAATTCAAATGAGTGCCCTTCTTCCTAAATCAGCACTGTCATGGCAGATTGGTGACACTAAGCTAGTGTACAGGAACCCAACAGGGTCTCCCAGGCATTTGTATCTCATAAAAAATTTGGTTTTTACAGAAGGGCTTATCAGGTATGTTTTGAGTGAAAACTCTCATTCTGCTAAATATAACTTAAGAGTAAAGTTTCAACTCTGGAAGCATAGGACATCTTAAAGAGGGGATGGACCTTTCTCTTTCAAATGTGCCAGATGACGTATTACATACTTGTACATACATACGTATGCATACACATATTATCACCTTGCAAATTCCTCCTGAGCTTTCCAACTGAATTTTGCTCCAATTTAGACATTAATTTGTTAGAACACAGTGTCAGAAATGGGTGCAAATCTGCAGTTCTGGGTTTTGGCTGTTCTCAATTTTTATATGCCTATAAGAAATACAAAATTTGCATTAAGACATTTTTGTAGTCCGTATGTATATGCATGTGGGGAGGAACAGGATGCTGACAAGGTATTGGTTTTGGCCCAGGACACAAGAAAGGAATGTTGCCTTGATATGTGACAGGATGCAGTCCCCAAGGGCAGCACCCAGCAAGCCACATGTCAGACCCCACAGGGTGCAGCAGGTCAAACTGTGCATCCAGACAGAGGTGCACATTAGACATGGAGGAGAGCTTAAAAAGCCTCGAAGCGTTTCTTCTGTTTTATGCCTTGGTTCAGATACGAGAGAATCTTTGGCCACATCTCATTGGTTCTACTCTCTAGCTATTATTCTTTCACCATCTCCTTGAGTCTGGGTAAAACTCAGGGCCCTAAATTATGTTTGTTCTCACCTGGACAAAGCAGCATTTTAAAAACTGGCATGTTTTTCACATTGAAAACCCCCCAGCCTGGGAGGGGCTGGTGGAGAAGGCCACCACCTTAGCTTCTGCACATGAATTCTAGTGTGTTACAGAAGTCCAGGGGTCACACATACATTGGCCGTGGAGGGGTGAATGCAACAGCTGACCTTTACACTGAAATCCACTCTTTCTTTACAAGGGAACCAAAATCAAGCCTTCTGAGTCTGACCGAGGGACGTCAGCATCAGGCCCTGCCCTTGGCCATGGTAGAGTGGGCTGGGCCTGGCTAGGTTGTGCTGCTGCTGGAACAGGGCGTGCTCTGCGTACTGCCGATGCTGTGGGCTGCACTGCTGCTTTCCGAGGCTGGTGAGGAGGTGGGGACTTGCTGTCTTCCTGCTGTCTCCCCTGCGGTTAAAGACAAAAAGCAAAGAAAAATGCATGCGATGAGTGCAGTTCTGGAAAAGTGTTTGCCCCTGCTTTGATATTTTATCTGAAGTTTTTCTCAACCACAGGCAAAAATAACTAGCCCAGGCCCTGGATGGCTACAAGACCTTATGCCCTTAAGGTTTTCTGTTTGCTGTTGTTCTGTAAGCCTCACACATGGGAAAAGAGGAGGGTTTTCTATCTGCACAGGCATTTGACAGGCAAAGACATCTGACAGTTGACGACAAATCCCCTGGATTTTAGGACCTATGACCTTTGAAAATACCACCAGCCTCTGGACTGTGTGAGCCAACTGACCAGCTCCTGTCTTCAGGAAACTCTGTGCATATTCTCTTACAAAGATGCTGTAGAGTTTGGAGGGCAAACCTATTAAATTATAATAGGAGAATGTTGGCGGTTTGAGGCCTTTTCTTTTTCTTTTTGGTGCTGGGGATGGAACCCATATGCTAAACACATGCTGTACCACTCAACTAGCTAACTTCAACCCCTGGGAGCTTTTTCTTTTTTGAATGCCCTTGCTTAACACTGGGCTGGTGAAATCTAGATTTTGCCCTGGCTACAGCAGAGAGAACTTTGTGTGTGCAGCACACATCTACGTGAGAAATGGGGGTGAGGAAGTGGCTGCTATGGGAAAACCTTTTTGGGGAAGGGGTTTAGCTGTTTACACATGGGAACTACAATGCCAGCAAACATGCCGCCTTCCCCTACTCACACTCCAATGTGAGTCTCTCCTAACACAGAAAGCATCCCACTTTCATCACACACCCCACTGCATTTGAGCTAAAACCATTCTTTGTGCCAAATGCACAGAGCACTGGAGAGGGAGAGAGAGGAAACCTCGGGTCACACACATGGTTTGCATTTAACAGTACAAGCAGCCCTGGAGTTGGTCTCCTTTTCAGCAAACTGGCCTCAGTACAAGCCTCGAAAAGCAGCTTTAGAAGGGAGAAGTGATCAGAGCTCTCCAGTGAAAAGCACTGCATTTTCTTTAAGAAGTCAGAGTATACATAAACATCTTGTAAGCAGTCTCCCCCCTTTCAATGTGGGAAGCCCAAGAGGGCCAGGTTTGTTTATGAATGAGCCTCTTCTTCCTGTCATGCTGAAATACACATCTATCAGCCAGAGATACGCAGCCCTCCCTTCTGCTCATTAAACACACACAGCAAAGGCTCTGCCCTCCAAGCACATGAACTCAGTTCCCTATGTCCATCCCCTTTCTGGGGCCCCTCCAAAGTTTCTGCCAAAAGAGAAGTTCTGCAAAATGCAGGACTGGCCCATGCCCCAGGTCAGGTTACAGCTTTCCCTGACAGCCAGTTATGAACCACAGCTCACACACTTTTGCATCAACCCAAGCATTTACATGCTTGGATATTCTGCCCTGTGTCTCCTCCAACTATCTCCCTTCTGGGATTGGTGGGATGGAGAGGGGAATGTATTTTTACTCCCCTCTCCCCTTCCCTCTCTTGATATACTTTAAGAATCCATCCCCTTAAATTCATAGATAGTTAGAGGAGACAGAGGGCCAAATATCCAAGCATATGTGTGTTCTGGCCTTGATGCAAAAAGTGTGTGAGCTGGATCCACACTCAGCTGGATTCTGATGTCACCAATTAGGACTGATGCGGTTACACATGAACCCCTTTTAGAGATCCTTTTTTCCATTTAAATCAAGATGGATCAGGAAAGCAGGGGAAAACCAAACACATCCCCCCCTCCCCCGCCACCTCCCCCCTCCCCGCCCTTCTGGCTGTGCTGGCTGCGTTTGCTGAGAGCCTCACAGCAGCTGAAGCAGGATGGCCCTGCCTCCCCCAGTGACAGAACATCGTTTGTCTCCTTCAGAACATGACATGGGCTTGATTCACGTTCGGGAAAAGTGCCAATACCATTCCCTGACCAGGAAGCTCGATTATTTGCTTCCCAATGTCTGTTTGCCAAATATAATTTGTTGCCACATCAGTTTATTTTAATAGTACCCACTAAAAAGAGATTTTTCAACTTCTAGAGTTTTGGAAGTTCTTATCCTGGTAATGCAAAAACACTGATCAGAGTAAAACCCCACACAAAAAGCCAAAGAAACCCACACTCCAGACCCTAGGATCATTCACCAAAGATGAGGCACATTAACCTGACATTCTATTGAATGTATTCTTTGATACACTGAGGGGTCAAGAAGAATCTCTGAGAACCTGCTAGGAAATGTGGAAAAACCCTTTCTGTAGAATGTCCCTTCTACCTCCATGGCCATTTTCACATGTGAAACACCCGATTTCTCACTATAACAAGTTTTTAAAAACTGTTCCCTTTTGGCAACATTAAGAAAAATGTTTTTGGGTGTTTTTGTTTTGGTTGGAAGCAGCACTACAGAAAGAGCCATCCGGAGGAAGAAAGCTGAATGTGCAAACGCTTCTGCAAACAAAGCGAGTCCCCTGGGATCTCTGAGATGGTTCCTTTGGCTTTCTGCTCTCCACTGGCTTCTCAGAGCACTGCTTTTCTCTAAAATGTCCTTTGGGTGACAAAAACAAGCAGGCCACCCCTGCAGGAGATGGGCAGGGAGGACCTTGTGGCTAAGCAGAGCAGGGCCAGTGAACAACTGTAAGTTTCAAGGAATGCTTGTTAGCATATCAAAGCTGGCTGTGGAGTCCCTGAGTCCAGTCTTCCTGGACAAATCTCAAAGCACACTGAGGGAAGAGAGATTTGGGTAGGAGAGAGGGAGACAGAAGAAAGAACCCCTTGGTGCCCTGGAGTACTCTGGAGAAGGAGAGCGTACGGGGGATGAGCGCACCAAGCACCAAGAATTCACTCCACCTATTTCATGTTAGTTCATCACTGAGCTTCCATAGTGCCAGAAACGTTTTAAGAAATAGAAAAACATATTTCCTAAAGAGATTCTATTTTATTTCTTTAGCTTAGCATAGTGTTGTCCAGATCCAATTTCCTGCCACCTGTTGGGGGTTTAACTTTACAACTTGATTCTCATCTCTAAGTCTTTCACCATTGCAGGTCCCAGGGAAGAACTGAAGGAAGATGTGAATAACTGGAAAGGCTCCATGGGGAGACACCACCAAGGGAGACATTGAAAAGAAAGGTGAGAGGAATCTAGGTTAGTTAGCCCAGAGGAGGCTGTTTGCAAATAGTGTCCTAGGGATATTACAGAGGAGCAGACAGCTGATCTCACTCCCTGGAGGGCAGAAATTGAGGGAATGAGTTTAAATGGTAGACATAGAGATTTAGATGAAAGAGAAGAGTTTGCAGATCGAGGTTTGATTACTTACGGAATCTCTCTCTGGGGAGATATCTAAGCACAGGATCGAAAACCATATGCCTGGGGATGATTTTGATCTAATATTCCTTGATGTTAGAGAAAAAATGACATTTTCTTCTAGGTCTATGTGCTGGTGGCAATTTTGTACCAATTAATGTTGGCCTTTTGGTATCTTACCTAACTAGTTCTCAGGTCCGCTTCTGTAAGGAGAGCGAAGTAGATGATCTTTAGTGAAGTCAATAAACCTTTTCCATTTCCATTACTTACTCACCCCACTCTTTAAGCTAAAAGGCCTTTCTTTTGCAGCAAAACCCCTCAGGAGGGGTGGGTTAGATGTCACAAGTTCTGAGGAAAAAGAGAATGTTCCAAGGCAGGAATTAAAGTCTCTCAAAATGTCCTGGCTACTGCTTCCTTCTTTGCTCCTGCCACACAGCCAGTGTGTTTGCATCTGCACTTGGGCTTTCTGTGTTTTACTTCAGCTTGCTTTGTGACCCCTACACAGGATGCACTCCAAATCTGACAATAAGAAGGGAGGTGGGAGAAGAAGAGGGACAAGGAAGACTGGGTAGAGGATAAAGCCCATCCTACCTATGTACCTTTACAACCTCTTGAAGCTCTAAGTTTATTCAATTGCTAGTCTTATTACCTGAGCCAGGTGTGTTAACTTCTTTTCCCTTTAATAAACACAAAGAAGATCCCTACTTCACAGGGTTCTTGGAGGTGAGATGCATAAGCAAGAAATGCATAGGAAAAACTTTTTAAACTTCAAAGTCCTATATGGCACACACTTGTAATCCCAACTACTTGGGAGGCAGAGATCTGGAGGCTGTGGTTCAAGATCAGCTCTGGCAAAATGTTAGCAAGATCCCCATCTCAATCAACAAGCCAGTTATGGTAGTGTGTGCATGTCATCCCAGCTATGTGTAGACATGGGTAAGTAGGATCAGGGTCTGAGGCTAACTGTGGGCAAAAACTTGAGACCCTATCCAAAAAATAAATCAAAGTAAAAAATGACTGGGGTGTGGCTCACTAGCAAGCATGGAGGACCTGAGTTTAAACACAGCTACACACCCTTTGATTTTGCAATACAGAACAGGAAGAGAACATGGGCTGTAAATCTAGAAAGCTGGGTTCCAGTACGAACTGCTACACCGTGCAACTCCAATACTAACATCAGTTTTCTGGGCCTGTTTTTCACTATGCAAAAAGGCAGCAGACCAATAATTTCCTCTTTTAGAAACTGATAGAAGGGGGGAAAAAAGGGCAAGAGTTAGTGTGGCATCATAAAAACAGTGCTTTATCTGCAGTGCACACATGGATTACATTCCTCCCTACGTCTCTCCAGCATGATGGCAGTGGACTTCTACGAGGCACAGACCCTGAAACAAAGACAAGGGCAATAAAATTTTGGAAGCTGCTGAGGATGTTGGGTGAGTGATAACTGACCTAGTGGATTCGAGCAAGCAGAAAACCAAGCCAACAGTGGGAAAAGCTGAGAAACAACCAGTTGGTGTCACAGAGCCCTCAAAACCTCAGGGAGTGGTGGCACCAGTGGTGGCCTGACAGAGGGTGAGCAGAAGGCCGAGGGCCATGGAGCTGGATGAGCTGTGTCAGAGGCAGTGCGATTTCTCTAGTCTGCCCTCCCTGTGCGGGGGCTGGGACCCTGCCTTTCCCATTCAGGAGGAGCACAGGAAGTTTA